TACTTTACTTCTAGATTTTTTTGGTTATATTATTATTAAAAGTAGCTTTTATCTTTTTAAAAAGACTTTTTAAACTTAGTTAAATTATATATATAAGATATAGGATATAAATAACTATAGTATTATTATCTAACTTAAAAAGTTTAATATAGTCCTAGAGCTTCTCTAGAAATATAATATTATTAGATATATTATTAGTTGTTATTACAAGTATTTAATTTATTAACTTATATTTCTAGAAGATATCTATTATTACTATATTTAAATTTATATTAGTATATGATCTAAAAATAAATTTAAAGTTAAATAAGATCTTTTGATATTTTTAATTCTAACCTAGAAAATAAATAGTAATAATTATAAATATATTTATAAATAAAAAAGTCTAATAATTAAAAATAAGAGATACTTTAATTTCTATTAGAAAAGATTTTAAAATTTTTTCTTAATAAGAAATAATCTCTATAGTCACTTGATATTAAGTGATTTATAAATAGAGGAGATCTAGTCTCGAGATTATATATTAAGCTATTAAAATTAGGTTATAGAAACTAGGATATTTTAAAAGCTTCTAAAGAAGATTAGAGTTTATAAAAAATCTAATTTAGATATTTTCTTAATTTTCTTATATAATAACTATAATTGTTTAAGATAAATTCTTATTTTCAATATAGATTAACTTAATATAACTAAAAAAAAATATAAGACTAATATTATACTAATTAAATAAATTATCTAATATCTAGATCTTTAGATATCTACTAATATCTACTCTTTTAAATATATTTATTTATTGTAAAAGTACTATTATCTAAATTTAGATAATTAAGTAAGGTTTTATATTTTAAACATTTAACTTTTAGAGCGTCTATCTTTCTATCTACTATCTTAGAAAAGTATTATTAGACTATTGATAAATAATGTATATTCTAATAGATCCTTCTTTATTATCTAAATCTAGTTTATAGTCACTACTAAATAAATTCTTTTTATTTATTTACTATATTAATTAGATAAATAAGATAGAATCTTATTTAATTAGATATATATTATTCGATTAAAGATAGAGGTTTTAAAGAAAGAAGATAAGATTGTTAAAAGATATTCTTATTTAAATTAGATACTATTAATAGTATTAGATAATATGGATTAGAGGAAATCGAGATATTGTTTAAAAGAATAATCTATAAAAGGTTAACTTTATTAATATTAAATAATAATAAGATATATATATTAGATAATTAAAAGATTTAGCTTTCTTATTATAATATTATAGATATAATTAGAAAGAGTATAAGAGTAGATAATATAAGATAAAGAATTGTGTTTATTTTAATAGAAAAGAACTATATATTTATAGTATTAGAGTATTATTATTTTATAAAGAGGGATTAATTTAATTTTAAATTAATTCTTACTTAAAATAATCTATTATTTCTAGATTTATAATAAATAGATACTATTATTATAATTAGCTTATTAAATAGATAATTTAGAAAACTTATAGATAATCTATAGGTAATTTATAGGACCTATAGATAATCTATAGATTATCTATATTACTATAAGTAGTTATTCTCTTTTTTAATCTAGTTATTAGATTAATATCTATTAATTATAATACTTATTTTATAGTTAGCTTAACTATATTATTTTAATAATAGTTTATAACTATTAGATCTTTTTAGTTTTAAAGATACTTAATAATAAAAGCTAGATTATTATTCTTATAATATCTATAGTTATTTATTTATTTTTATTTATTATTCTTTTTATTAACTTTTTTAACTTGATATCTTATTTTATCTTTTAATTATTAGTCTTTTTATTATAGGATTTAATCTATTTCTTTAAATAGATATTTTATAACAACTTTAAACTAATTTTTTAATATCTAGTTTCACAATCTTTAATATTCTTTCCTCCAATATCGAAAAAACAGTTAAGAATTAGTCTAAAATATATATATTATAGATTATAAGTATTATTTTAATACTAATATATTTATTGTTTCTAATAGTATTTGATTATCTTTAGAAAAACTAAAATAAGATAAGTTATATATTAGTAATCTAACTTAATAAAAATCTAATAGTATTTTATAAAAAGCTAACTATTTATTGAAAGATAAATCTTCAAGTCTATTATCTAATATGTCTATATAATCTCCTTCTTTCAAAAAGCTTTTATTAGAGGAAACTTATCTTATTAAAATTAAGAGTAGAGACTACTATCTTAATATCTTTTTCTACTCTCTAATTAATACAATAGATAAAAACTATTATTATAAAATATTATTTAAGACACTATTTAATTATCTAGTCTAGCTTAGTAATCTATATAAGATCTAGCTATAAGACCTTTAATCTTATAAACTCAAAGATAATTAACAAAGAGTAATCGAGAATCTAGTCTTTATAATATCAACTATTTATAATAGTATCTTATTTAATTAGCTTCTATTATCTTATTAACTTAATAGTTACTTTAAGATACTATTCAATTACTTACTTTATTATAATTAATTATATAGAGTCTAATTATATAACTTTTAGTCTTATTAAGTCGAGAATAATTAATAGAGAATAACTAGAGAGCTAGTTCTAGTAGTATTGACTACTTATAATATTACTCTATTTAGTTAGCTTTTATTATTTTATTAACTTAGTAATTATATTAAGATATTACTTAATTATCTATTTTAGTTTAATATATTATATAAGATCTAGTTATAAAACCTTTTAGTCTATTAAATTAAAGATGATTAGTAAGAAATAACTAGATAACTAATTCTTATAATATCAATTATTTATAATATTGTCTTATTTAATTAGCTCTTATTATTTTATTAACTTAATAATTATCTTAAAATACTACTCAACTCTCTAATCTCTTTTAATTATCTATATAAACTTTATTTCTATAACCTTTACTTTTATTAATTAGAAAATAATTAACGAAAAGTAACTAAGAAGCTAGTCTACATACTATTTACTACTTATAATCTTACCTTACTTAACTAGCTTTTATTACTTTATTAACTTAATAATTATATTAAAGTAGTACTTAATTACCCATTTTATTTTAATACCCTATATAAAATCTAGTTATAAGATCTTTTAGCTTATTGATTTAAAGATAATTAGTGAGAAGTAATTAGGAAGCTAGTCTTTATAGTATTAACTATTTGTAATATTGTCTTATTTAATTAGCTTCTATAATTTTATTAACTTAATAATCACTCTAAGATACTATATTAAGAAAACTTAAAATTTCAGTAAAAATCTATATAAGAAATGAATCCTATAATATTGGCAAGTTTGTCTTATTTGTAACCTAATAGGTACCTAAATTACCTAGCTAGGTCTAATTTAAAAACCTAGACCCGTTACTAGATTCTTAGGGTAAGCTTAAAACCTAATCTATTATAGATTGGGTCTAGGTTGGGTCTGGGTCTTAACGGGTCCTGCAGAAGTCTAAATATTAGTTAAGATTTAGTTAAATTCTATTAAAGTAAAATAATATTAAGATTTTAATCTCTAATATTATATAAATATATAAAATATATAAAATATTATAATTTTTAATACTTTTTTTTATTTTTTTAAAAAGATCTCTTTGTATCTAGATTTTAATATAATATATTTAAAAAAGATTCTAGTCTATCTTTAAAGTTTTATAGAAATTAATTAAAAGATAGTTAAAAGAAAGTTATATAATAGAAATTTAAATATAGTTAATATATATAATAGAAATTCGAATATAATTAATATTATAGTCTAAGATATCTCGTAATTTAGATATCGTATAAAATTTAACTAACTTTGAATACTTATAACTCTATAATAAAAGGGTCAATTATAATTTAAAGAAAATATTTAAATATAGCTAGTCCTTAGCTATCGGCTGATATAAAATTTATTATGAAAGATTGTGATTGTGGAAGTGGATAGGACCTACATTTTGCCTAATATATACCTAATATGGGGTTGGGTTTTGGGTCGAGATCTTCGACCCAAATGGGGTTTTGCGGAAGTCTATGTGTGGGGAAATCAGATGACGTTCTGCCTGACTGCTCGGCCTGGTCGCGTCTACTTTTGTATAGCGGAGTCTTTTGAGCCAGACCTGAAACCCTTTTGGAAGACCGAGTGGTTTGAGATACTGCGAGATGTCTGGTCGATGGCAGAAATATGAGGGTCACATGGTGCTGGAGCCTCAGGCGCTGCAGTGGGGCGTTGACTACCCTAACTTTGATCGATTCTGTCACTTCGCGACCACAAAAGAAGCTTAGGATTCTCTAATATAGCTCATGCGACTCACTGTCACCTGAGCTAGGTCAAGATTTTGACGACTCGCCTGAGCTCAAAATGACCTTTTAGGATTTCCTAACTCGGTAGGTATCTGTCCCCACTACCAAATCGGGAAATATCCCGATTCTTGTTTATACTTGCACATCTTAACTTAAATGTGTCTGCTCGCTTAGAATTTACCCGGTTGACCTGAAGATCAACGGCTCCCAGATTTCTTGGGATTGCTCACCTGTTCTCAACGAGATCTGACCAGATTCTGGCTTGAAACTCTCGAGGTCAGGCTAGAGGGGCCTCGATGTCGGACCATCTCTGTTTTAGGTAATGTCCTCCTTTGTCCTCCTTTGGCGTTATGACCAGCCATCAAGTCGCACCCTGCTTTTGATATTTTGAAATTCTTGCTGACATGCCATCGAGAATTCGTCAGCTGTCGATTGGTCTACGAGGATCTGCTCGTGAAGAGTTCCAAGAACCAAGGTTTAAGCGATATTGTCTCAAAAAGGACTAGTTCTGCATGTTTACAAAAATTGTGGGGACGAAAGTATGATGGCCTAGAACGACATCTTCGCCCACCGCTGCCGAACATCACTCCATCTTGTATCCACAGACATTGTGAAACATGTTGGCGCCAAGTCACCCCGTCGATATTCACGCAAAATCCTCTGACCCCATCTCATATCAACAGCCAGCCCCCTACCACTTCAAAGTGAGCACACCAGGTCTGTATGGAAGGGCATTGTAATCACCACCACCGTTCGGGTTGCGGCCCTGGTAGAGGAGTTGCAGATTGCAGGCATCGACGGTCATCGTTTGGTCAGGGTTAGTGCGGACCAAATCACCGTGACTGATGTCGTTGGTCCATGATGCACCACTGTTAGCCTTGCCGGCGAATGGGCTACTTTCGCTAGTAGCCTGCGGGGTCCACGCGCCGCCGAGGCTGCTCGCAGTGAATGAACGGAAGTACCGTCCCTGGGATCCAATGGCTTCCACGATCATCAGATACTTGTTTTGGCCCTTGACGGTGTACACCTGAACCGCCTCGAACAGGTTGTTCTTGGAGTCACTGAGCACGACCTCGTAGCTTGTTCCGAAGTTTCCAGGGAAATTGCCGATAGGCATGCTGGAGCGGTAGATCTTTCCATTGTCTCCGGCAAAGAAAAGGTACATGTTTGTTGAGTCACCGATCAAGGTCTGATCAATGGCACCGGTACCGGAACTGGTGATCTTTCCCGAGAACAGGGCTTGTTCTGCAGACCAGCTTCCCGTGGTGGGATCACTTGTTGTTCGGTAGGTGAAGGTGCTGGAGCCCCATTGATAGGCCATGACCCAAACATTCTTTGGCTGGAAATAGAACAAAGTGGGCGCAACAGCATTGAAGTTGGTTGCGATTTGGTTTGCAGAGGCCATATCGGACCAGCTTGAAAAGGGGCTGAAGAGCATGGAACCATAGTTTCCACTTGCCGAACCAGTCGATGCATAGACGAGGTGTTTGTTGTTGTAGACCACGTTGGTGAAATCCTTGAGCGCCACCCAACCGGACTTCGGCTGTGCGAGAGCGCCAGTGGATGTCCAGCTGTAAGTTGACGGGAGCGCGCAATCAGCGATGGTAGTTGGTGCAGATGCGAGCAGCAACACAGCGGATGAGAATATCCCAGCTTTCACCTTGGGGAACATCATTTTCAAGGATTTAAGTCGGCAGAATATTGAATACGGATTATGGCAAGATGATCGAAGGATTGATCTGTCAAATAAAAAAATACGCTTAAAAACAGAGTATCTTTTTTGGTTTTTATATCAAAAACGTTACGTTGGACCTCGGGAAGCTCCGCTGTTTCAAGTCGGCGGGTGCCCAGGTGACAATTGACGTATGGTGTCGTTTCTTTTTCTAATCAATTCCCAATGTGTAAAGCAATTCTTCAGGCAAAGGCATATTAGCCGGAAAATCTCACCGGCTGCATTGATGGCTTTCCTGAAGATGGGGCAGGAGCCGACGTGCATGCTGCACCAACGGCATTCTTTAGGCTATAATTCAAGTCTGCCAAGACTTGGCCTTGGGACCGTTTCATGAGGCTAGGTGGAAGCGCTAAGGGGAGTATTGAAACGAACGGGGGTAGCGTTGAAAGGATCCACGGGCTGAAAGTATCCGCGGGTGTAATTGGAACTGAGACATCACGATTCCACGGCTGTTTTAGTATAAGACGCACTTAACTTCGAACAATTCCGGTTTGAGAATCCTTGGCCCCCAGTACTCATGGCGTAGGCCTTCTCCGAACGTTGGGTATCATTCCTTTCGGGGGTTTCTCGGAAGATTTGCAGGGGGATTGCTTTGATGCATATTGCTCCTCGTCCCCACTCGGCCCCTATTTTTCGGTCCACCCAGCCGCAATATGCTGTATATGCCCCCGCCCGTAGGGTCGATTGATCAGCCATCTCTAAGCATACATTGTATCCACAGTGGGCCCCCCCTTAATCAAAGTTGGTAGAAGATTTAGCCGAACTTGGCAAGCGGGGTCCAGGGTCCAGGGTCCAGGCTAAACTTTGGAAGCTATGCAGACATTCAGGCAAGGGCTGATTTACCTCGCCACCACCAAGTTGAGTTTATACCCATTGGATATGGAGGAAAAAAAAGATAAATCGATTGAATGCGGTGATATCCTACCCGTATGAGTGACATTTATCCATATCGATGAAACATTAGCACGCACCCACCTCCGCTGTATGCAGGTCTATAGCGGCCAAGGTCGACCTAGAATATTTCCCAATTGAGCATTCAGCACGAATGGAAGAAGGACCTCGGCCGTTGTAGACCTATGCATTCGGGGGAACAACTCCATCGAGCCATCTCATTGAAATCATCATAGTCTCATCGCAACCTTGGAAGACGGGATAGCTTGGCTCTTGCCTTATATAAATATCGCCTTCAATCCTTCACGTTCTTTTTCTATCTACCAACTCACTATTCTTTGATTTGCATCGTATAGCCTTACCCACTCTTCACCATGGTTTACATCAAGACAACTGCCCTGGCTCTTCTTTTCGCTGTTCAAGCACTGGCTGGGCCAGTTGAACCCCGTCAAGCCTCGGTCAGCCTTGATACCAAGTTCAAGGCTCATGGGAAGAAATACTTCGGCAACATCGGTGATCAGGGCACCTTGACCAAGAATCAAAAGACTCCTGCGATCCTCAAAGCCAACTTCGGCCAAGTGACCCCGGAGAACAGCTTGAAATGGGATGCCACCGAGCGTAAGTATCAGAACCTGAAAGAAAAATGAATAAATGAAAGCTGATTACAGTTTAGCAAACCGTGGACAATTCTCCTTCAACGGAGCTGACTATCTTGTATCAACCCTGTACTTCGATGTTCTACATTTTACTGATGAACTATAGGTGAACTTCGCTAAATCCAACGGAAAGCTGATCCGTGGCCACACTCTCGGTGAGTAGTAAAAATCTTGGACTGCTAGAGCCATCGAGGCTAAACTTAGCAGTGTGGCACTCCCAGCTTCCAAGCTGGGTGTCTTCTATCACCGACAAGACAACCCTGACAAGTGTCCTGAAGAACCACATCACCACGGTGATGACCCGTTACAAGGGCCAGATTTACGCCTGGGTACAACAGTCTAATAATTTGAATGCTACTGAACAAATTGCTAATCTTTACAGGATGTCGTGAACGAAATCTTCAACGAAGATGGCTCTCTCCGTCAAAGCGTCTTCTCCAACGTGCTTGGTGAGGACTTTGTGCGGATCGCCTTTGAGACAGCTCGTGCTGTGGATCCCAATGCGAAGCTTTACATCAACGACTACAAGTGAGTTATAGACTTGATTTCATTTGTCGTGTATTGTGTGCTGATATTGCAAAGCTTGGATAATGCCTCGAGCGCGAAGGTCGCCGGTATGGTGAGCCATGTCAAGAAATGGATTGCTGCCGGTATCCCGATTGATGGAATTGGTAAGATATGCGCCACTCTTTCTCTCCTTGTATACCTACTTACTCCCTTCTAGGTTCTCAAACCCACCTGAGCGCCGGTGGCGGTGCGGCGGTTGCTGGATAAGTCCCCCCCCAATCTCCCTTCATGGAAATATAGCTCATAGGATTTTACAGCTCTGAATGCTCTCGCCGGTGCAGGAACCAAGGAGGTTGCTATCACCGAGCTTGATATTGCTGGTGCCGGCTCCACTGACTATGTCAATGTATGTTTCCTATTCCTTGACCTAATTCGGTTTGTTCCAAAGCTAACACACAAATAGGTTGTGAACGCCTGCCTGAACCAGTCCAAATGTGTTGGAATCACCGTTTGGGGACTGTCTGACGCGGTAATTACATTCCGGTGCACATGAAGAATATTTTACTGATGATTCAAAACTTTGCAGGATTCGTGGCGCTCCAGCTCCAGCCCTCTGCTCTTTGATACAAACTACAACCCCAAGGCTGCATACAGCGCTATCGCAAATGCCCTTTGAGTTTGACTTCGATTCCCAATATCCCTTTGATGCGGCTCACTCAGTCGGATTTAATGAATCCGTTGATACGGTTCCGTAGTACTGCTGTGCATCCACCGAAATGGCAAAAGCGAAGTTGATTTCTTCTGATCGAATAGTTGCTAGGCGAAGAGAATTTGGATGTACATGGCTACTTCAGTATGCGATCGAGTTTGGCAAGGAACACAATTTATTGTATTTGTTTTCATGAATGCTAAATATTACTGCGACCAAAAGTATCGTAGTCTTTATCATAACACGCTAAGTTGAAAAAAAAGAAGAGAATCGTCATCTATCATCTAAAAGTCAAACGGTATATACATCATGCGTAATCAGATGACAACAGGACCAGCACCCATTCGATCTTTGGGCCCGATGCTCTTTTCTCTCACAATAATAAGACCCACAATCAGACCAAGACCAACAAGTCCAACAGAGTACTCGAGACCAATATCATACTTTTCAGCTAGACTATGACCCTTCTAGATATCGACGATATTAATAACGGCAATAGAGATAGCTAATATAACACTAGAGCCAATTTAGAATATAGTATTCAACTATAAGTAATATTAATATATATAAGTGATATTAATAGAGACTAGACTTAATTGTTGGAAGGGAGTTCCTAGGCCTCGCCAAAACCCGCCCACCGCCCAAACCCGCCCGCGAAAACCCAGCCCATGGGCCGGGTTGGGTCTTAGTCAGCAAACCCGTGGGCGGGTTGTCATCCGGGAAACCCAACCCAAGACCCAAATGGGTACCCGCGATTACCCAAAAAAGCAAACAAAGCTGACTGATCATTTTACACTAAGTTATGCAGTAATTTTCGATTATCTAATTGTTTCGATGGCGTAACTACTAGCTTCTGGCTGTGAATATTTGGAAAGGAACATGAAGGGCTTGAAAAAATCAAATTGGCTAATTATAAAGACTAGTATACCTCGTAACCTCGCAGTCTGCTGGAGGGCATTGTTACCCGACCAGAAGATCTCTTCTGGCTTCTATCACTCAATTGCATGATTGGAGGCGGAAGTAAATCTGCTTCGTCGTAATCAACCACGTCTTCCTCCATACTCTCTTCTTCTTGTTCAGGTTCGTGAATATGTCTGTGTATAGAGCTCCGGCCGGTCTCTACCACCGTACACTCCACTTGGTATGTCTCCTCTGGCTCAGAGTTACCCTCGAGATTCTCGCTCTCTTCAATCTCCTCATTGTCGCTGATCGGCTCTGCATCCTCTTCGATTGCCTTCAACGCTTCATCCTCTTCAAGTGCCTCTTGGCTCTCGCTCTCCAACGGTTTCTCCAGACGAATCAATTGCTGTCCCTCTAGTGTGAGCTTTTCTGAGCACATGTACATCATCAAGTCTTGAATGGTCCCTTCGTGAAGAGACCCTCGGCGATAATGACAAATGTCTCGTGCGCTATTGAAGAGCCTTTCTACACCCGCGCCGGTGGCAGGGACCGAAAGCAAGTCTCGTGCGAGCCGAGACAGCACTGGGAATTCGCGCTCGTGTTCTTTCCAATAAAGTCGCGGCGACACAGGGACATTGGCTATTCAAGGTCAGTCAGTTGTTCCAGTGTGTTGTACTGATTGCTCGTGCCTTCGCGAAGATACTGGTCCACTTCGTCATACTCTACTCCTTCATGGAAAATCGATGCACCAGGTGGCTCGAGTAGCCGATCAAGCTCTGTGCTATGCGAATTGGAAGATCGCTGGACTGTACGGAATAGCAACTCGGGGTTCTGCTGCTGATACTGTGTGAAAGATGCTCTCAAATATTCACAGTACCTTTTTGACGTATCTTCATGGCAAGTTGAGTACTCTCGATCATCAAAAGCACTCAGTTTATACTGAGGGGCAAGTAATGTTCCAGTGCCATAGAGAAAACCGTGGTCGCGGTAGGTTTTTTCGTAGTACTCTTTCAGCTTCTGCCTCGCCACAAGCAACGCGCCATACATGTCTTTCTTCCAGGGTGTTGTCTTTCTCTTCAATCTTCGATTCGACCGTTCGATATGCTCCAGTAGTTTCCTATACACAAGGAACACACTATGGATTGTGACGTCTCTGGTCTTCATCAGAGCCATGGTGAACTGAAAAAACGGTTTGGTCAAATGAACGAGGTAGTCAATTTGCCTCCATTCAACGTCGGTAACCTTGAGCTGCGAGTATTCATGATCGCAGCAGTATTTGTCGATTACATTTCTCAGCCGGCGTGCTCGGCGAAGCATCAAAAAAGTTGAATTCCAGCGTGTCTGAACGTCATGTAACGGAAAAAGCCGAGTACCACCTGATTGGAGGCATAAAAAAGCATCACGCCGTTGTGGGCTTGCGTTGACAAAGATCGCAAAGGATCGAATCTAATGCTGTCAGTGCTCTGAGTATATTGAAAAGGTGAATATCTTGGCTCACCTTTGTCAGTGTATGAGCCACGTCTCCATAATTGATCGAATCCTTCAACCCGTGCGCTTGGGTGTCGGACCAAAAGGCTCTGACTTCTTTATTCTTAGGTGCTGCCCTGATATGTCCCAGTAGCTGTTTCAGGCAAAGCTGGATCACATGAGCCATGCAGGGAACCCGGACTATTGATTCCCTGGAGCTAATAGCTCCAATAGAGAGCAGTCTCTCTTGCAAGGCGCGTATCATGGTGTCGTTGTTGGTAGCGTTATCTGTAGTAACGCTAAAAATACGATCGAGAAGTTTTCGTTCCTCCAGTAACCGGTGCAAAACATCACTAAGGTTGTTTCCTGTATGAGGACCGTGCAACGGCTCAAAGCCGAGGAGCATTTCCCTATAGTTCCAATCTTTGTCGATGAAATAAACCGTGATTGCCATGAATGCCTGCTGAAATGGACTGGTCCAACAATCTAAAGCGAGGGAAACCTTGGCATCTTCAGGCAGATCTTGTAACTGTAACTCTTGCTGGCAATTGACTGCATCCCGGAGCCGTCTTCGCAGGGTCTTCGCTGACGGGAGTTCCAATTCTTTGGGACCAGAATATAAAAGGCTGAGTAGCCTCTGAAACACCGGGTTCTCCACCGTCTGGAAAGGCAAACGAAGACACGTAATTGTCTTCAATATCTGCTCCTCGATTTGAAATGTTGTCACTCTGTGGACACTGGGTGAGTCTCTCATGGAATGGTTCTGCAAAGAATCCGAAATCAATGACTGATTAAATCCCTTTTTCTTCCCTTTACGACAAGTGTTAGACTTTTTGTGTCTACTCATGGCGCTTGTCCCATTCCCTTTATACTGTGGATGATCAAGCACAGTGAGACAAGCCTGGCAGATGACTCGAGGACGCCCAGAATCAATATCAGCAACCTGGTCAAAGTGTTTCCACACATCAGCGTGACGCGATCCGGTGGACCATTTGATCTGGGATTGGCCTTCTCCATTCAGCTTTTGGCCGTACTCTGTTTCCTTCCACCATTCAAGAAACTCTGTCTCTAGATGCGACTCGTACGCAATCCATTTCTTTCTGTGCTGAGGTCCCACACGTCGGAGTGTCGCTGGAGGTCTTCGAGTAGTTATGTCGTAGGTTTTGCGGGGTCCTGTCAAAGGCTGCGGTCCATCTTAGTATACATGTAGATAACGCCGCAACACTCAGAGGCTAGTGGAAGGGACCATTTTCTTACGGAGGATTGAATTTCAGAATCCAAGAAGCCGTCAGATGACGGCTCAATAGAGAGCAGTGGACTGAAAGGCCGATGTATTGATCGCGATGATGAGGAAGAAGACGCCATACTGAAGTAAAAGGCCACTGATATTGGAAGAAGGGGAGATTTTTTTCATCTTGAGTACTTGATTGTGGATTTTGTTTCAGTCGCGTCGTGCGTTTGGATCTATCTATTCCTGAGTTGCGTAAAAGCCGCGGGTACCCAAAACCCAACCCAACCCAACCCAACCCGCCCGGAGATGAATACGACTTTGGGAGGACACTGAGAAGGTCCAAATCACTGATTTTAAATGATCGAACTAAAGATGATATTTTTGAGCTCACTCGAAAGATTCTCAATTGATAAATTTACATAAAATCATCAATGTGGCCTGTAATCCCTTCAGTTGTGTAAAGCAGGGCGATGGGAGCAGTGTTCTACATGTAGAGAATATATATTTCCAGGTCGATGGCGTTCATTGTTTCAATGTAATATCCACTCAAAAGCGTGACAGAAATAAATGACCAAAATTACACTAGATGACTAATCAGGGTTATCCACGATTTATGCATGTTTTTGGGTATTTTGGGCAACCCGCGGGTACCCGCCAAGAACCCATGGGCGGGTTCATCAAGGCCAAAACCCGCGGTGGGTTGCCCATGGGCGGGTAAGGAAATTGAAAACCCAACCCAAACCCGCGTTTGGCGAGGTCTAGGAGTTCCTGTCGTTGGTGGGTCATGTGACCGTGACCCTCCTGCCTATTAGTTCTCGCTCCTCTATAGCTTCTCTCTTCTTCCTTCTTTCTCTTCAGACGCACAATACTATTCTTCGAATAGCCTCCTTTCTTCCTGCCTACGATCTTGTAGATCTTCCAAGATTTATCAATTTTTATAATCCAGTTATACCTAGATCAAAAGACACTAGGCCTACTTTTACCCGCCATAATTAATTCCTGCACCCAGGCTGGGTTTTACACCCCCTGTAGATAGACTTCATAGAAGTATAACAATTCTAGTTGACAACTTCACGGATCCAGGAATACTGTCACTGCCTTTTAGGAGTCAAGTGATTAAATTGAATAATTGTAACGGGGTTCCAATGGTGCCGCCCATGGAGCCAGATTGGTCATATATAAGGCGGTTCCAGGCATATCTGACATCAGGTCAGATATAGTGGTCTTTTGGCCTAGTGGCCAACTGCGCGCCTGGACATACGCTGTTACAATAATCCTGTCACTGAATGATCCAGGTCCTTCAGTGTCTCATTCGTTTATATAGTAATAACATGGGGGGAGAATGTAATGAATGCTAACACCAATTTGTCTAAAACCCCCAAATAATGAATTAGCATAGCTCCATGGTTCCGTGGAAGTGGCAGTTCTTATTTTTCACTCTATATCTGCAGGATAGATTATCCGCATCATTTGACCGCGCGAATACGGGTAGATGAAATCGAACCATAGTTCGTTAGACGATCAGCGCCTAGATGGTGGCGGTCGGGAGAATTAAATTTATTAGCGCCGGAACAGTCCTCGTACCAATAATAGCCCAAATAAACTTGTCGAAAATTCCCATCATTTTTTTCCCTAGAATAGCGATAAATGTACTGTGAATTTATGTAAAATAGTATAGACTCCACACAAAAGTACAGAGGTGATATCAAGGTAATCAAAGTACAGAATTGAATAAACCCACTACTTCAGTAGTTTTGAGAATCTCTATACGATCTTTAATCAACTTTAAATCCTTGAGATGTGAGCTTGGATGGGGATCTAGACATTGTTCCTAAAGTATCATTTTGCGAGGAAAATGCGGTATGGCACTTAGCTTTAAGCTAAATCTACTCGTATTGATATCGAATCATAAGCCTCTCCGAGTCAGTCTCGTGTGTGTGTTCATGCGGAGCCACTCTAATCGAGATTGGTGCCCCACCCCTACGCCATAGAATATCTTCAAATGTTAGATATATCTTTAGGCCAACTCTATATACAAGGAGGTGGACTTGCAATCACAATGACGAAGGATTCTTTTCTTGGCATACGTAGTCGCTGCATCTCTGGGGTTCTAGGCAATAAAAATGAGAAAGAAACATGTCATATCTTAGATGGGCTGTACTTGTTAAGTTTCGAATGATCTAGTGTCTATAGAACAGAGACCTGTGCCCGACAAAAAACATAAATACCATCCTCGTGTCATCGAATTTACCTTCTGTTTTCCCACCCGGACTCAATACAACAGTACTAAAACAGGTCAAGCAATAATCTCATCATGAAAGTTTGCAACATTATCGTTTTTGCAGGTGGTAAGGATACCTGAACCACAATCTAGGGGCATCTCTCACGATTTTACTAGGCGCTGTCGCCCTGATCAACAATGCAGGATGCCTTGATTGGTGTAAAGATAATTTCGGCATACTTGGCCTTGCCACATGCTTTGCCCCTTCTATTCTTGGCCAGGGACCATGCTTCGACTGCGGGCCGCATAAGAAAATCTCAACAAAGGAGCTATGCTCGAAGAAATGTGTTAATCTTAACACTGACAAAAACAACTGTGGAAAGTGTGGTACTAAAGTGAGTATCCAGCATCCATGCCCTATAAAACTCAACTATTTACCTCAGTATAGTGTCCCACAGGAGTCAACTGTGAGGCCGGGGTCTGTCGCCCTCAAAACAACTGCGTCAGTGTTGGTTCGTGTGTGGGTAACCCGCCCTGCCCGGACGCCTCATGCTTTTGCCAGCCTGATGACCGGGGCGGCTCCAACGGATACTGCAACAAGCCAGGACCTTGCAGTGACTTTACGAACTGCCAGGGTCCAAAGGATTGTCCTATCCCGGGTAGTGTATGCGTCACCACTTGCTGTCCCGCCCCGAACGCTGGCAAGTGCTTCCCCCAGACAAGTTGTGTAAAAACCCCACGTCTCGCATTTTCAAGGCTCGTGGTGTCCAGGAGATTCGTAAGGTTGAGGATGCCCAGGTTGATGAGCTTTATGCTGTGTTTGAAGAGGCTATGACGAGTAGCCCCGAAAAGCGTGATATTGAGTCTCGTGAGGGGGGAAGGTGTATTGGACTAACTCTATTGAACCTAAATGAGTAATATCGATCAGTACCTACAAGTTATTTTGTTGGATTACTGTCACTGACAGGGACACTATCCTTTGGGAAGGCGCATTGGATTCTTAATTTTTTATTTTCCACTCTGCTATTATTCATCATGTCTTCTACTATTGATCATGGAAATTGTCGATGGAACCAGGCCAAAAGCAATTCAAATCAATCAATTATATGGTTATCATGTTCAAGCTGTCCAATTATTGAAAGCGTGGTGCATAGAGATTCACGCACATATTTCTATCTTCACCACTTCCAGTGGTCTGACAGACCCTTCGCAACAAATTTTGGTGCGATTGCTAAAGCTCAATTCGATTTAGTTTGGATCTAATAATTCTTATATATCAAGAAGTTGGAATATAACTAGGTACGAGGTTTGACGTGGCTACACATAAATCTGATTGTATATGCAGAGGATTTAGATATAATATATCTCGACTGAATTGATAATGTCGGTAAACCTTTGCATCCGCAAGAGCCCTGGAAGTAGCGCAGATAGATATCTCCTTGCGTCGCTCTCTCTTCCCCTCTTCTTCTTTTCTCTGTCCGTCGTTTATTCATGAGAATTACTCTTTTGTTATGCAACACGCCCCTTGTAAGTCCATTCTGCTATCAGCCTCCTTAGGTCAATCTTTTACTCTCTTATTCTCCCAATTGTATTCATGACTAAACGAAGGTCGGAGCTTTCCCTAGACTACCTACCATGTCTACTTTCAAGCCGATAGTCATTTACTGCTACAGCCGCGCATTCTCTTACCCAAATTTGTGATGGTCTCAAGTGACTGAGACAGTATGTGGAAGATATTGGTCCAAATGCAAGGAGATTTCACTGGTGTCAAATGCCATTTTGGTTGCCATCTTGGAAAGGGTCATATCATAGAGCCTCCATGCACGCCATGAGGCAAAGTTGCGATTTGATATTGCGTGAAGACACCAGATGGCTTTCATGGCAAGCATGAAAAGTCTGTGTTCCTTTTTTGGCTCATGGCTGGTCAAGCAGAATAGCTCGAAATGGGGGGGTGCTCGCCACTTGCATGAGGTAGTGCAGGATACACCACCATGGGGAGATATGGTAGATCTGGACGTATTTGACTTGTTCAAGTTAAGGTGAAGAAAATCCGAAGCAGAATCTATTGTCCACTCTGCTATCTCATCTCTAAGGGTAGGGTTGCTTGTGGAACCGTTCTTTCGCAGGTCGCGCTGGAAAATGTATGAATGGCCCAGCATAATATGAGCGCTATAGTTTTGCAATGCAAGCATTACTTCCCTCCAGCTCCTCAATCTTTTCTCCCTACCCCCTCTACGAAGTACTATCTTTCAAAAAAAAAGTAGCTCTAGGAAAATAGCCTATTTAAAATCTTCCTTAAAAAAAGTTTATATAACAGTATAAAAAAAGGAACTCGTAAAAGATAACACTCTAAAAGCCCTCAGAAAATAAGTATTGTAGTGGGAAGAGCGCGCTGGCGGTCTGACATCGCAGACAAGACGACGGGGGTGCTCAGTGCTCGGCGGGATCAGGGAGCTACGCAGGCCCCCAGGACTACCGGAATAGGAATGAGATGCTGTTTGCCAGAGAGGTGTAGGATGCTTGAATGCTAAACTATGGAAACGCGGACAAAAGCTGCCAAAACGCGCCACAGTGGCGCAAGAGAGGTGCGGCGCTGTTTCCCCACTACAGTATATATAGTAGTACAGAGAGGGAAGATGTCAGGGTGCAGTGCCCCGAGGGCCCCCCAGAGCAGGCATTCCCCTCGGGAGTAGACATAGAGTAGGCACGACCCCAGGGTGGTGCGGGAAGAAGCATGTCATTAAGAAGGGACTCCTATTACAATACGTTGTATAGGGCGGTATATTAGGCGGTAGAGATTTTATCCAAATTGGGCAATATTGATGCCTGATTCTGCCTGATGACCAATAAACGAGCCGGGCCGCTATAAGCCTGCGTAACTTTCTCATCTCACCCAGATCCCCCAGCTGCAACGTCGCACTCGGACTCAGTCGGTTTGGCCTATTTAGCGGCCGGCAAGATTTGGCCAAGGAATCAACCACCACATGGCCTGTTCTCCGATAACCGGGACTAAACCCGCTTTAATGGAGCATCGTGATTTCACTAAACTTAGAATAGATCTAATCACCCGGGTGTGTTTTCCATGGAGACAGGGGGGTTGCCACTCGCGCAAGGCACATGAGCTAGCTCAGAGTGGAGCCAGATTGCCGAGCCGCTTTCTTGGCAAATTATCTGGCGGATCAAGCCCTGCCTGGCTAACCTCAGCTCTCCGTCTGGACCTTGGGAGCAATGCTTCAATTCAAAAGCTGGAAAATATCTTGGCGTGGGATTATGTAGTGCACTCAATAATCATAGGGAACCCCCAACAAGAGCGCTAGCGATTTCTAGGCACTTGAGCTATCATCCGTGATGGCGTAAAAGAGCGAGTTTTCCATTGACTGTTCTACAAAATGGAAGTCGAGAATCTCCCAGTGACTATAGGATTATGTTAGCGAGATCAAGAATAGCGATAGAGCGACCTTACACCATCATCTTCCATGTCTCGGGATCATTTTGATAGCCGCTAAGTGGCCAATCAAAGGTCTCCTTTGACGTGGGCTCATCTGTTGGATCATGGTATGCAGCCAAATATTCATGTAGCAACGTTTCATCGGCACTGATTCTTTCCCTTGGATTGAAAGCGAGCATTCTCTCCAGTAATTCAACCCCTAGTTTGCCTAATGTTCATTACTGTCATTCTGGTATTTGTTGGGAAAACCTACCTTCCGGAGTAATGTTGGAAAGGTAAGACAAGTTCTGCCGTTCGCATTTAGGAAGCGACCGAACAAAATCCTGGGTCTTGCGTACCATATGTTAGCATTTAGATCCAGTATTTATAAGAAATCTCCAAGATACTTACATTCCGGCTTGGTATTTGATCCAACACGTCATCTGGCGGCGTACCGCGAGAATTGACTATAACACGGAATTGGTCCACATGGTCAACGCCAGGGAAAAGAGGTTTCCCCTGTAGCATTTCTCCCATGATACAGCCAGCGCTCCATATATCAACCTCTTTGCCGTAGCTTTGCCATAATAGCATGACCTCTGGTGCGCGGTAGTATCTTGTAGTGACATAACCTGTCATCTGATGCTCATAAGGACGAGCAAGCCCAAAATTACATATCTTTAAGTCGCAATCTTCGTTCACAAGGGGGTTGCTGGGTTTGAGATCTCGATGGATTATGCCCGCAGAATGAACATATTTCAATCCTCGCATGATTTGGTATAGGAAGTATTTCGTGAAGCGCTCTTCGAGTGGCCGTACACTGAGCAGTGTCTGAAGATCAGTGACTAGAAATTCTGTCACAATATAACTGTTTGATGGAGTAGATCAGCAACAGTACGGAATTTTTATCACATCAATACTTGCATATCTTCTCGAGGGGAGATAAAAATATCATTGAGGGATATGATCTGTACTATATTAGTGACTGTCGAGTTTCTGACCTTTGTGCGACTAACGTTTTCATGCATTAGCTGCTTGAGTAACTTGATTTCGCGATACGTACGCTTGGCTACTTCGCGCCTGCTGAATGGCTGCGCTATTTTCTTGATAGCGACGGTGTGAGAAGTGACCTTGTCTTTTGCGGAGCTGGGTAAAGCATATACTGTGAGCCCCAGCCATTTTCTCGAGAGCCAATGGACAAAAGATCCAGCTGCATGGGGTATTATTACCAAACGAGCCCGTGGACACCAATTCCGATGAGTTGTATATCTGTATATCTAGAATATAAGCTTTGTTAGTATCATCGTACAAGATTCGCAACTCAGATTCATCAGATACCTGTCTGTAGTTTCAAACCCCGTGCCCAGCAGGTGGGTTCGTATGGAACCTGACATTGTGAGGTGGCAACTGGAAACATGTGCCGAAGGAAAACAAGTTTTCAGTGGGATGTGGCAAAAACGGTGTAGATAAGTTGGCTTAGACTACGCCATGTGATCGAAAGACTCAACCGGCAAGCAACATATATTGTGTATGAGGGACCCGCTCCATCCATGGATGTTGTAGAGACGTACTGCGGCACGCTCCAGCGGATGCGACTAATGACATCCATGGATACTTCCCATTGCGGCAGCTACAAGATTTGCTACTCCATACCACCAAGTCATTATGGGTCGAACAACCCCCGCTGGACCAATGAGAAGCATTGGTGATGGTCTTTTTGTTTGCTCAATTAAGACGACAATCACAGTTCTATTCCGTCTAGTCTTCTCTTCTTTTACTGTGTTTGATCTTCTCTTGTGCCATATGCAAACGCGCTTGCAACAGTTAATTGAAGTGTATAAAGTCCAAATTAAAAAAAAAGACGGGTTGGGATGTTTCATGCTATGGGTCGTTCATGTCCGCGCGTTAGACCGTGGCTCGATATTTTCCCATGACTAGTATCAGGCAGTTCTAGATTGTCAAGGGGCTCATCCTAACAGGGTCACCCTGACTCGCGGTATCTTGTCACCAAACAATATTGGATCGGGATCTGCGCCCCCGCTGAGCTCACATACCACAATCTAGATGGAATTAACCAACTGGAGGCAATGGCCCACCACGCGGCCAATAACCAATTTTAGCTCGTACCCACACTTTCCTTGGCGCAATTTTCTCACCCCAGGCATACCTGATGCCTTATATGGTTAGTCTAATACGAAGCTCATCCATGGGACCAATGCTCTATGGACTACTGTTGAGACCGTTTCGTAAGCCGGCAATCCCTTTTTGTGGCTGTAGGACAACATAATTTGACATGGCGTTCCCGCCCCACACAATCTTTGCTCTGACTTTAGAGCCTTAGCTTTCCCGGAGTTGCTAGGAGACAAAAACTTTTGTCGGCAGTTGCTCGTTGTAGTTCAGTTTCAATGGCCCTGACACGTCGGTTGGGGGTGTCACAAGCCGTAGGAGTTAAGGGAAGTCGTCTTGATGAAAAGTGGTATCAAAGATGGGCAACGGGTTCTACGGTCCGAGCTTCGAATTAAAAGTGAGATCTTGGGGGTTACATGGATGCAGGTCATCCAGACTGCTCTTTCGGCCCTTGGTAAGTTCGAATCGCACAGGCCGGCTGGCCTCAATATGAGCCCTCCAAGGCAGCTCCATCCCCGCACATTGAATGAGTTACCTATTGCAAACCGTCGTATAATCTATGTCCCGATTGTATTATGAGATAAATGGGAATAGATAGAGCAAATCATACGAATCTCACAAAAATTCTCAAATGCGTAAGTTGGTCATACGTTGCATAACACCCATACTGATTTCCGAACTCCACATACCCACGCTATGTAGATGGTCGATGGCACGCTCGAAACTAGGCACCGCACAGTAGAAAGCACCGATGAAAACGCCGACCAAGGCACCGGCTTTACAGGTAACAGCAACTTGTTTCTCTTGAAGGGATACGGTAGACGATGCTTCTGAGACTGCACATCGGTTAGACCTGGTGGACGTTCTGGGGACCCGCCTGATTGTCTGAAGCACAATTCCTCCAGCCAGTAGACCTCTGGAAGCCGGCCATTTTCAAGGGGATTTCGTTGAGATTCGTTTTGTGTGATGGGTTCGTCAACAGACGACAAGTAAATCTTGGTGATCACAAAGCATGTCCGGACAGCAAAAGCCTCTGTAGAGAGATTCAGGTATTCTGGTCCCCTGGAGGTCTCGTGGTTTCCGAATGACGAGGCCCATTGTTCCCAATGGACCAGGGCTTGAACTATTTCCTCTCTCAAGATCAGCCGAGCGTGGACATCATTTAACAGGCCATCCAAGTTCAATTTTTCTTTCAAGAGGTGAAGCCGCGATGGCAATGCGAGATGGTCATGAAAACTCTTGCGTGCCTCCTCCAGAGATTGAAATTTTAGAGGAATTTCTGGACACGGGCCACATGGGAACAAGCGTGGATAACCGCGCAGCATACACAGAGAATTCAGTGGTAGCATCCTTACAACTGCTTCAGTCGACGAGTGACATGTGCGGCCGCTCAGCATCTCCTGGAGAAGTTGAATTCCCGATCGCAGATGAAGGGAGGCTAGTTTGTAGTTTCCCAGGAGCCCCTCAAAGGTAGCGAAAAGAACACTAGCTGCCAGGAAGGATGCACTTTCGGGCGCCTGAGCCGGGTGGACTAAGGACTGGATGGCATGTCCATATCGCTGGAAAGCGAAGACTTGGATAGGGTTTTGAAATGATGTGTCGTGGATGCTCCCACACTCGAGAGCTCTGTGGTATGCGCCGACGGCCATCAAGGCGTGGCTGATAGCCGGGTCATCACGGACCAAGGATAGTAGAAGGGTGGAAAATTCAGCTTCAAAAGATTTAGCCGTCCTGAGGAAGAAGTACTCGAAGGCAATACGATCCTGGTCCCCGTCAAATTGCGGGAAATATACACTCTGTTGGAGATCATGGGACGTGGTCATGTGATAGGGCTTCCCCAGTAGATAGATCTCTCTGTTTTCTCTCTCTCTCTCTCTCTCTTCTCTCTCTCACGCATCATACAATCTGTTTTACGTGCATACTGCTCTTACTAGATCGTATTCCCCATACACTCATTGGCCGTTCGATGCCTGGCACGTAGACGGTGAACTTGGCTGGAACCATGCGCGTGGCTGCAACTTCTGCATTGAGATACCGGGCACATTCGCGCCTAGAGGACTGGCACCTTTTGCAGGTTGGTTTACCTTCATCACATTTCACTCGTCGTGCTCTATGCTCTGGTCAGATGCGTTGTGGGCAGGTTAGGGTGCTGATAGCATACTTGCACGTTAGACAACCAGTCCGTACGCGTGAGCTTGAGGAGCGCATTCGCTTGGGAGTCATTCTCGGCAGTGAAGGCTATCTAGACTGGGCATGGCAATATAGAGAGGGCGATGATGGAGTGACCTCTTCCCCCTGTTGGGACACGCTGTGGGCCCAAGCTACGAATGAGACAGTATGGAATAAGCTAGTCTAAATTCTATGTATGTAAGTGTCTCTTTTGCCGCACTATTTTAAGTGGCAACTCGGACAAACTATAACCCGAACGTCACTGTCGCAACCCAGGTTGGAGTGGATATATACAGTCAGCAATGGAATCGCAGAAGAGCCTGGATGTATAATTCCTCTCCCACAGCCGTCACGAGGCATTGAGCTCGTACCGCCTATGTGTTCTTGAATATTCTCCGTGGCCCATTTTTGTGTTAAGAAACGAATCCCGTGCGTCCAACATCCATGGACGTAAGGAAAGAAATATCAGAATCTCTTTAAAGACCGTTCATGATCTGAGGTAATTGTGAACAATGTGTAAGTCACACATCAACAACCACTTCCCACAGATATGTCAAATTTTGGTTCAGACGACGTGAAGTCACGGACAAGTAGAATGTAGAATGTTATTATTGGGGTAATATTGTGATTCAGGTTGCGTTAGTAGATTAGAGTAGTATTTAAGTTGGTCCATTCAAGCTACCGAGGTGATATCCAACTTGATCAAAAGCTACTCAGAGGCTTTGTAAGGTGGCGATTATTGCTAAGTGTAAGAGTTTAAAGTCAAATAAAAATGGATTGACTTACCCTATAGTAAGTCTGTATGTAATACTGGGGGCTGTTCTTGGCCACAGCAACAAGACCTAGTAATCTTCAAAAGGATTCTTGGCTGCTTGATAGAGCACCCTATTTGACCCAAATGATGTATATCATTAACCAAATGGTTCCTATATTATACCTAGGCTTACTAGGGACTATTACACATTACAAGCTGTTTACTAAGAGTACGAAAGTAGGAACATATCATTACGTTATATATTACTTGGCTGAATGGATATTGAAGGCAAAATAACTATATTGAAAGAGTACTCCGTAACTTGAAGCCGGTTTGCAGGAACTGCAGGTTGCACAGGTGATATAACTCCATCACCATCAAATTCTACAAGTTCGATAAGATGATCTTTCTATTCTTTGTCTATCTTACTTAGTGTATATTCTTACTGTGAGAGCTACCTCAGGACTATTTCAAATAAAACGCTTCATTGCTGCCATTAAGTCTGACCCCTAAAGGATCAAATAGATCACTATGAAATTATATCTAGAAATAAATCGATCGCTCTGTATGGAGTATTGTGACGTAGGTATCCTTCCCCCCCTCTATTTCTCCTTTTTTGATACTCTGTACTCTGTACGGAGTAAGGGCAGCTTTACTCTGTGCACTTTTTCAATTGGTTAACAGGCCGTCCATTGTAAAGATGCTCCTCACATCATTTCAGAATCCACCTGTCAACTTATTTCTTGCCTACTCCGTAACTTGCCGGCTCGTTTCTTTCCTCATCTATCATTTCGATTACCATCTTACTGTGCTTGACCCACCTAGTATACTCTGTATTACATACTCCGTACCTTGGCCTTAGTATCATCTGATGTTGTCAAGAAAACGAAAATTGGAAGTCTCACCGCAGTCTTATTCCTTACTCTTCTGTCAAGAATGATCCCTCTCCTGTGAGGATGAAGTAGAGGTTGACACCTCTCTCCCCCAATCTCACATTCGTCAAATTGTGGTATAAGTTAAGGCTCATGGTATACTCTGTACGGAGTATAGAGTACGGAGTATATTGAATTAAGTCACTTCTTTGATGTGTAAAAAGAATCATGAGCTTACAATCAATAATCCGTACTACATAGTTCGGCTGACAACATGAAGTATACGATCAGTTGCCGATTCAGGAGGAGAGCGAACATGTAGTTAGTATCTAGGAGCGTTAGGAGCTCATGCACGATACATCAGGCTGCCGGTTACTCCGTAGTTCTCAACTCTATTCTTCCTTCTCCATCCCCTTGTCCATTCTTCCTCCTATTTACCCCGCATATACTCCGTATTACGGAGTAGCTTTATTGTTTATACTCCGTGTTGACCCTTTTTGGATGGTCAGGTGATCTGGCGATCTGGTTGACAGGTCTGATCTCGTCGTTCTCGCTCTCCCCCTTTTCTCTTTCTCTTCTTTTCTTTCCTCGTCATTTCTCTGCGTATTGCTACTTCTACTAAGATATCAGTCTATTCTTCAACCCTTAATTTGTGACTCTTTCATATTATCGAGAATTTAACCAGCCGTGGCAATTCGGGGAACTAAGAAATTAGTCATGAGAAACTCTCTAAAGACGAGTGTGAAGTGTACGGAGTAGACGTGCATACATATTACATATGATTACTCCATAATTCAATTGCTACCTAAGCATAGAGTAAGGATAATTCGATATGTCCAGTAACTTCCCAATCGATGGATGAGACAGAAATCAATACATGTGGACACAACTCGATATTACCAAACTTGTACTCCGAAGGAGATTCAATGTTATTCCCTAACTTCACACACTCCTTACCGATCAGCTAGCGAGTATTTTACGTCTGCTTTTAGCTCTACATGGTTATACCCGGTTAATCCTCACTCCATATTAAATAACTATCAGCTTCATGTCACACGACATGAAATTCCAACTTCTACGGAGTACTCCACACTCCGTACGGAGTACTCTGTATACCTCCCTCTCCTTTTATGGCCTCATCTTTCACCAAGACAATGGGTTGGTAACATATAGGGAAAGTGAATGCTGAATTACTGCAAAGCTTATCCAAACTCTATTTGTGTAGCTATCAAGCGACCTTGGGTCTAGGGGATATGTCCCCCAAGGGTATATACACAAAAACACTGTATCGATGTATAAACAGTTTCCATAAGTATAACAATGCCCGAGAACAAGAAGTGAAAACGAAAACGGTCGCTCATACGGAGTATTCCGTATCAAAATCTAAATAAAGACACAACTTCCAAAATCCTACGCGTCTATTGCATCTCACCTCATGTCATAGTGTACGGAGTACGGAGTGCTCTGTACAGCCCTGGAGGGTACAAAATGATGATCTGGTCAATATTAAAAGACAAAAGAGACTGACTGCAAGGGATATATGTGAGATGTCAACAATGTATACATAAGCATGCGAAGATCAGTGAGCTTACGGAGTAAAATGCCTCTACTCCGTATCCACTCCGTACCCCGAACCCCGAACCCCGAACCCCATACGGAGTACCAGCTTGGAATATACCCAGGCCAACAAAGCGGAATAAGGACTGAAAATCAACCGTTCGGTGGACTTCGTCCTCTGTACTCCGTACTCCACCTTCCATTCTCCGTATATAAGATGACGGAGTGCAGGGTAGAATTATGCCCAAATCCACCATGCTAGGGATTTAATTAAAACGAGAGATCACATCGATAGCACCAGAATTATTGCGCATGTGGATCAAGACAGGACAAAATAAATAGTGCAAATTATGGGGCTCCGTTATTTTCTACTCCAAACGGAGTACTCCGCGCTTCACAAGGAATGCACCTGGCTGGACACGTACGTATGGATTGGGAAATCTCATGCCAAATTATGCAGTAGCGGTCAACCCGGCTGCAATTTGACTATCCGCTGCAAAATACACATATGACCCTTGCTGCAGCTTAGAATATATAAATCAAGATCTCCTGGCAGTCAGGAATGGTTCAATCAATTTTATCTCACCAAACATGAAGTTTTCTATCCCCTCTCTCGCCCTCGCTGCGCTTGTTGCTCCGACTTTGGCCCAGGTGGTGCCAGGTTCGGTATGCGGGAACTTCAATCCATGATGGACTGAGTTAATCAATTCATATAGGTCGATATCAACTATCACTCCGGTTATGATAGATACCAAGGGCGCGGTGGCGAATGTTCGACTTCCAAGGCTCCGTATGTTTTGTGCTCTGTGCTTGCGGACTTTTGACTAATCAATACGATAGGGAGAAAGATGTGACCAGCATCAACATTTCTGCATTCGCACCAGGCCCTGTCACCTGTGACTTCTACACGTTTGTCTCTTTCTGCTCATCGTTTCGACAAACGCTAATACAACCAGGGGGCGCACTGCGATGGAGACAAGTACAGTCTCACTACCAAGGGAGGAATCAAGGGGCAACAATTCAGCAAGCCATTCAAAGTTGGTAGCCTGACCTGTTCCGCATAGTGCCTTGGCCATGGAATTGCATAAAGATATCGCATACGGAGTATTTCACTCGCAATAAATCAATAAAAGTATTCCGTACCCAATACCTTCATCAAGTTACCATAAAGAGCTCTAAAGCTAGAAAGATGATATTCGGGATAGTGGAGGTTTTGACACGACGGTTCGGAGAGTAGACCAATCTATTGATAACAGAGCTGGTCTACAGCATGAATCATAGATGCTGATACAAAAGTATATCACGAACTGTTAAAGGAAAAACGGACAGGCAAAGACGAGAAGAGGGAGGGTCCGGAGGGGAGAGCGATAGATCAGGCCTGCAATCTGCGTCACCTCATCATCCACCATCTTCAGCCTATTTGCTAGAAGAATATCATTGTAGGTATGGGGTCTTAGCAGCATCAATTTGGGAAGAGCTATCATTGCATGCCGTCTACCCTCGAACTGGGGAAAGAAGATAATCCCCATGCGAAAGTGGTTTCTATGGGGCATCTGAAACGTGACCCGCAATACTCACTGGTCGCCTGGTGCTTTCAACAACAGTAACTATCCCCTCACACCAAGCAGCCGGAATCACCCAAACTTGAACGATCACCCAGACAGACGGTAATCAACTAGTAGCTACAAGGGCCAAGCCATCGGTTTGTCGAGGATCTTTTTTTCTTTTCTTTTCTTTTTTTTTTAATAGGTATCCTTTATTATGCATGGCTGCCTATGGGCATTGTCGAGGAATCTTTGACGAGATTATCCAAATCACTGGTAGTGTAATAATATGGAATCAGATGCTAGCTCGGGGGTTACCGCGATTGTGTGGATTGGGGGAAATGAGAGGTTGTGCTCCAGGCAGCGGGGCGAGGCAAGATCTTCGGGCTCTCCCTCCTCTCTGCTTCTTGCTTCCCCTGTCATCCTTCGAATTGGCCCTAAATTGAACATTCATCCTTCTTCAAGGGTCTTGGACCTTGTGACATTCGTCCGCGAAAGAGTGATGCCAGGTAAACTAGACTACATGTTGGAGGGGGCCATCTGCTACGTTACCTTCTCTTCGCAGCCAATTCATCTTCAGTCTCCTTTGTAGAATAGACGTTCTCATGTTGAAATATGTAGATAAGCTCGAGTACGGCGAGGAGCCCAGGTGATTGTGGTTGCACACAAGCTTCGCTGTACATAGGTCAGGTCCTGGGGTCAATCCCGTTTTTGCCGTAAAGAAAGCGATAGGCCATACACAGTTTACTGCTCAGAGCTTCCCAGATATCAGTATGACAACTACGACGTGCTTCAAACGCCATCGACTTGTGACTGTAGCAGCCATGACCCCACGTCCGCCCTTTTCCACCCATCAAAGACGAACAAACTATGTTGACTGCCCAGCCCTGGAGGTGGTTAATAGGTCGTATGTCCGAAAGTATTTCACCATATGGTGAAGCTTCATTTACACAAAATTATAGCTTTACATATCCTCATATCCCAGGGGAGCGCCCAGCCCTGGGGGGACAGAGGCTCCGTCCTTTTCCCCACCGGATATTAACTACTACTATAACTACTACTACACCATTACTACTACATCTGCTACCCACTGGTTTGGGAGCAAGCAGATATCTGCAATAACATCCTTGGTAATAGATCTGCTCCATTTCACCGTGCCAGGTCAGAATTGTGGGTGTACGTGAATATGAAATTCTCGTGCAGAAGCTACTCTAAAGCTGTCCAGAAGCAGCAATAGCAACTGGGGCCTTGGTCTTGCCGGAGTTGGAACCCTGAGCTTCAACAGCCTTGACGACATCCATACCCTCGACAACACGGCCGAAGACGACATGGGCGCCATCAAGCCAGTCAGTCTTGACGGTGGTCAGGAAAAACTGAGAGCCGTTGCTAAAAAAAAAAAAAAGACATTAGCTTATTCGGAAGAGGTGGCTGGTTTGGACATACGTGTTGGGGCCAGCGTTGGCCATGGAGAGGACACCGGCGCCAGTGTGCTTGAGCTTGAAGTTCTCGTCGGGGAAGGTCTCGCCGTAGATGGACTTGCCACCAGTACCGTTGTGTCTGGTGAAGTCACCACCCTGGAGCATGAACTGGGGGATGACACGGTGGAAGGTAGAGTTGGCGTAGCCGAAGCCCTTCTCACCGGTGCAGAGAGCGCGGAAGTTTTCAGCTGTCTTGGGAACGTCGTCGCTGAATAGCTCCATGACGATGCGGCCAGCGGGCTCTGGAAAATAGTTAGTTAATGCCAATATTTGACAGGCCCGGATTACACACTGCCGCCGATGGTGACATCGAAGTAAACGTGGGTGGGCGCCATTTTATGAGGATGAAAGGATAGTTGTGAGGAGAAAGTGAGGAATGGAGGGGTATTCTGGAAGAGCGCGGGGCAGTATTACTGTAGAGCCCTGCAGACCGGGAGCTTGAGCACCAATGATATTCACTAATTCCGAGCACTGCGCCGCCAAAGTGGAGAATGTCTCCACCAAGGTTGGAAGCCGAGTCACGTGGTGTGATGTAGGTCTTGGCGTCACATGACCACAGCCTGAATTCGGCTGATTGTTCCGGTCGGGTGGTCCATTAATCCGATTTACTTGAACTGCCCTAGTCATGATACCCCAACAATGATCTTACACCTGCAGCATTGACATATTGCGCCTTCCAGCTTCTTGTTCTCCTGAAGGCTAAATTGTTCGAATCAGGGCCTATGATTCCAAGGCTCTCTACAAGATTCTCGGCATGCAAAAAAGCGTCGTCGACATGGTAAAGCGTATCTGAGACATAACACCGAATATATGTGTGATGTTCTAGACCAGCATGTCTACTCTGTACTCGATGGCTTTGGGAGTCCTCCAAATCAAAAATCGACCTCGGAAACTCTCATCCATCATTTGCGTTGGAGCTTGCCGTCTTGCGGTGTCGGGGTGGTGAGTCGATTTTTCACAAGTACTGGCGATGTGTTAGGACGTAGCATGATGTGTATACAGCGGTCCCGGGATGTCGAATACGATGTTCCGTCATATTAAGGCCTTTGGCCTAGTGGTAAGCACACCTGGGTGCTGAGCTCTTAACACGATGTCAAGTGGAGCCTCGGAGATACCTGGCAAATAATCGAGACGTACTCCGTAAGATGCGAAAGTTTATGGGAGCTCTGCAGAATTCAAACGCCAATCAAATATGACCTTCCTAAGCGTCAAATCGAATGATTCAGTGTAGTTTTCGCTCAACCTTGAAAGCATCATGGGCCCCGAGGGCAAAGCCTCCCGAGGTCATTCCAAACTGGCATCCCGGTAGCTTCGTCTTTGTACATACGTGCTGTCAGCTTGGTGGATATTTGGGCGACAATCCTACGACATGTCTCACATTGTCTCTGAAATGAATGACACGAGCTTACTACTTATCCCGAGGTCTCTCCTTGCTTTGTCCAAAATCATACAGCTGAGCAACCTTGGAACACCCTTGGAACTTCCAAGTTTGTGTACTCCGTACCAGTGGGTGAATTCTTGAATCCTGAAGTCATACCGTGGAAAGCATGCAAGTCTGATAGGTTTACAGATGTGTTTCATTTGATTGTGATGTGAGTTTTGCCGAGACTACTCTAAAGTAGCAAAGTAGGCTCAAGTTGCTGTAGAGACTGACACAGAATCATAGGAAATCATCCAACCTAGCTGCAGAAGGTTCCTTACAAGTTACCCTGGCCGGCGCTTCCAGCAGGGTCAGTGCTAGCCTCGGAAGCGGTGGCGAGGGTCTCGCCCTTCAGGTTCGACAGAACGTCGGTGGAGGAGCCGGTCAAGGTACCTCCGTTTGAGTTGGCGACGCAAGAGCGACCGATGTAGGACTCACAGGTGCTGGAGGCACTATCGGCAGCGAAGAGAGCACCTTCGAACGACGAGGACTCGAGAACGGTGTCAACATTGGAGAAATAGTTACCCTCCGCCAAGACGTATCCACCAGACCCAATCTCGAAAGCGTGGCCAGAGTTGTCGTCCCAGTAGTTGTTGACTGCATGCAGGTAGGTGTTGTCTTGAACCTTAGGGGCACGTCCACTAGTCTTGTACAGGTAGTTGCCCTTGAAGGTCACCTTGTCGCTGGAGCCATCCAGGTACACGTTCCAGTAGTGGTGACCGTCGCAGGTAGCGGAGTAATCCGATTCGCCATCAATGTAGTTGTTTGTGATTGAAACTCGGTTATCGGCTTCGGTGCCCAGAACGTAGTGCTGGCGACCAATGCGAGCGGTCTGGTTGATGAGTCAGTCTTCTTTCATGGGGGACAATAATATGGGGAGGAGTCGCCTACAGTGACGTGGTCAACCCAGACCAGGTCAGCTTCATTTAGGGTGATAGCGTCACCACCCCAAACGTACTGAGGGTTGATGTCGGTAACAGCGATATTCCTGTTGTCAAAGTATTAGCGTGTAATTCTGATTAAACGCATTTCCATATGATGGAAAGGCACAATCAAAACTTACTGGATGATGATGTTCTTGACACCGCTGACCATTCGCAGACCACGGCCCTTGATACCGCCATTGCTGCCCTCTCCAATCAAAGACTTGTTGGAGCCGACGGTGATACCAAGCATACCGGCATTGTTGCTATAGGCATGTTAGCATTGTGGCAACGTTGGTAGCCCCGGAACCAGTGCAATGCTTACTAGGTAACAGTGGTGGTAGCCGCATCAGGTTCGTAGTTGGTGCACCAGTCATCCTTGTTGATTGCAACCTGACAGGCGGATCCAGTACCCCAAGGAGTGCAGCCACTGGTGGTGGTGGTACCCTCAGTGTCGGTAAAGTCAAAACTGTAATGTCGTCTTTGTCAGCCTGTGGTCGTCCACGAGAAAGCTCCACATCTTACGTCTTGCTCAGAACAATAACACGGGCCTCATCGTCACCGAGGTAAGAGACCAGCTCGTCGGTGGAGGAGGGGTAGACTGGGGTGGCATCACCACCACCGGTGGCGGAAGATGCGAATCCCTCGGGGGTGCCTGAGACGCCAACAGCGGCGACCTTTGAGGCAATGGCGGCAATGGCCGTGAGAACAAATGCGTACTTCATTGTGGAAGTCAGGGAGTATATAATGAATGACAGTGAACGAAAAGCAAAAGAAACGATGAAGGGAACGAATAAGGCGAATAAAACAAATAGAATGTAAGAAGAAGAATGGAATTGTCAGAGAAGGAGTCAGGCTGTGGGACTTATATAGTTGCGATCTTTAGTTTCTCGACCATCTGATACCATGGCTCAGGGGGCCAGGACGCCTCTAGGGCTTAGTTCTCGACGAAAGTGGTTTCGGAGCCATATGGATGAAATAAACACCTGGGTCTCCGTAGTGGAGATGCCACCGCCGATCACTCGGCGACTGTTGCTTCGGGAAGGCGATCGTCAGCAAAGCTCTTCTCCGAAACACCTCCATCAATCTTGGCCAATCATTTCCTCAGCCGGTCCGGAACGGAGTGCAGAAGCGGTGGGGGCACTTCATTTAACTATGTTTCATCTTGATGTCAAGTGTGTCCACGCTTGTCCATGTACTCTTGTCTTTGATTAACCGTCAGGCGCTTTAATTTGTCTTCACGGCTAAACCATCACTTAACTGCCAATATCAGACCGGATCGGTAAGACAGCATGACGTGTCTACTATGCATGCCGTGTAGACAGGAGCGACAGCTTTCTGATTTCTCTAGCGCCGGAGCAATCTGTCAGGTGAACCGAAGGACCCAGTTGGACGGCGCCAGACCTCGAGTTTGGATCACCGAGACCCGAATCGCGTAAGTAGTCTGGGTGCGGAAGGTGACGGGGTTGCGTGAGATAGCGAACGCATCTCTCGTTGATTTCCCGCAGCAAATAATCACGATTCAACCATTTACCCGCTGTCAATTTCCATTGATCTCTCCCGAAGAGAGTTCATTAGCCTCGAAAAGCAGATTCCGGTGTCAACGTGGACGGATTCCCATCAGTCTTTGAAGACGCCTCGATGGAAAATGTATTTCGATGTGTGAAAACAGCTGAAAGTTCGTTGATTGACCACGGATACTGTATCTTAGTTGTTCTAGTGCAACTGACATTGACGTCGGAAAACAATGAGGCCGTCATGACACCGATCAGTGGTTATTCACACCTCCAATGAGCCTACCCCTTCCCTCTACATCACTGTTGCCGGGTAGCGAAGACTGGTGTCATGTTGTCAAATAAGGGTGAAGATTTACCACAGGACGTGGGAATGATGCTCTGCATGCCTGACAGCACTGTGTGTTTCTCGCCCTCCAGCTCGTGCGAGGCGTCGGAAATTTGGTGCGTTTGCCTGGTCTGTACTTGGAGAACCCGCTTACGATGACCTCGACGGTGGCCCCGGGGTATCTCCTTGCTGACTGATCAGCCTCTATCTCTTAACCCGGCCGTAGAGTAAGTCAAGAACAATGCGGCGAGTGTGATGAGCGAACAATCTAAGCGGGGCGAGCAAAGCCAGGAAGGAAATTCCAAGCGGGCTCGAAAGCTCAGTGGGGGCTGATCTGCCCGCCTGCAGGTCAAGGATCTGAAGATCGACTCGTGGTATGGTAGTGCGGCCGAGTACAGATTCAGCTTCAGCACGCAGCGACCTGCGCGGGTGGGTAAAGGGTTCTTCGGTTGCAAGGGCGGCTTGAGGATGGCTCGATTCGTACGCGAGAAGCGGAGATACCTATGGTTGGGCCATCAGGCGCGGGCTGGCGATGGCTTACATCACGGGCGACCAGAGAGCGCCAGAGAGCGCGAGAGGCTTGTCCAGATGATGCCTCCAGTTTATGGATTTGAGCTCATGTCTCACAGAAAGGAACGGTCTTCGGAGGAGGATGATCAGTGGCAGTGACGCGAAGAAACGGTTTCAGGTGGATTCAACGTCATATGCTTGCACTCAAGTATCGGAAGGGTAGAAGAGGGGGGGGATGTCGCTACCAAAGCAAAGAGCTCTCTGTATCCAGCAACATCAACTCAAAGTCATCGAGGTTTCACCGAGGAAATACCCGTGGACACTTATACCAGTGGGGGCGTGGGATTAGGGACTCCACTCAATCTCTGCGGTGCTCAACCGAAACTGCTTGTGATACCCATATTTGTGTCACAAAGTGAGTGAACTTCGAGTGTCAATCAAGGAATCGGCCTGGAGTCGCATGAACTGCTGCTGGGGAAACTCAAATTCGAGACGTCTGGAAGGAAAGGGACCGGTAGGGACAGGTGAGTACGGAGTATAACGCACCCAAAATTCCAGGAGTGACGCGTCTGTTTTTCAACCGAAGCACGTGACCTCGCTGTACCGGCTCAATGGACTCAACGTGTCGGCATCCGGGTACTATGTTCATTGTGAGTCTTCCAGAGTACGGAGTACATCTAAAAAAATCGGAGTGCCTACAGACTGTAAGTAAAAAAATGCGACTGTGAAAAGCGATCCACTCTGAGAGCAGCCCGGGACAACCGTGGAACATCAGATCGCGGACCAAACACTGCGTGCCAAGGATGCCAAGGTTGGTCTCAAATTAATCTGGGGCTCGAAATGATGATTCTCTATCGTCCAGGAAAAGATCAACCTTGGAAACACAACACTCTGCAGAGCAAAGACTCTGTAAAAGGCATCTGGTTCCGGTATTAAGCTTCCAAGGCTGGTGACGGATGTAGATAGCACACCCTTGGTGAACCCGGACTGATTCTAATGTTGACACAATAAGACGATGCATTTCATTTGTTAACCCTCATTATCCACCAGCTTGCGGATTTTAAGATACAGATCCTCTGCTTGAATAACGAGGTATATATGAGATCTTGAGGTCGACTTTGAAATCATACCTCCCAATAGAACATTTCCACACTGGATCATTCGAAACAGCGGTGCTCAGCGTTGTGCATTCAAAGCAGCATAGGCCCCGATAGGACGGCTCAAGAACCATTACTTTAATGGGGCACGATTTCACCATCCATACCCAGGTCCTGACCAATATGCCCGTCCGGTCCGAATCCCTCATCCATCCCCGGCCACAGCGCTCGGCGTGTGAACCACGCTCAAACATGAAGAGCAAAGCAGCCCAGCCACAGGACGACCTGTATAACTGTGGCTGCAGTGCCAATTCATTTTATCGTCTCGGAGGCAATCAACTCCCCAATCTTGATCGTCGCCAACGCAAACCCTGTATAGGGGAATACGGTCGCCCACCAGGTGATATCGAATTTCCATTCGTGATGAGCAGCAAATATACTCAGCCAACCAAGCATCATTCACAGAAAGAAGGAGAATATCCACATGAAAATTGAACAGAAGACTGTAAAGATGAGCACAACCTCTGCGGTATTGACGTGTGCGGCCAATAGAGTCCCCATCAAACTCGACATATCCTATCAGTAAACGTCGTATGAGCTTCCATCATGGTTGCTGTATAGGTACCTAGGTATGTGGGGGTATGGATCGACGGGATTATGGATTGAGTAATTTCGCATTACAAGATACTTCTCCAGCCCTATAGACTCTCAAGTCGATACTCACAAAGTAGAAATGAGAATGGTCATGGCACTTGTATTCGAAATACACGACTGCCATTGTAGAAGATGAGGGCATCGAGCAAGATTATTCGTTTGTCTCTCTACTGCGCGGGAGGAACCTTGAAAAACGGTGCTAAGATTCACGCCAGTCTTTCGAGAAAAAGACGTGTCATACTTAGTGAGGACTGTAATAGGAACTAAATAGCTTGCCGATTGAACTCGAGTTTTCCTTGCTAGCTTCTCGGTCGACGATTATACGGTCGGTAAACCAGCCCTGGAGCCTCGAGGCACATGGGCAGCCACGGGCTTCGACTCTTTTTCTGGGGTGAGCCACAGCATCATCAAGCCAAAATCGAGTTTCTGTGGTACTGGTCTCTGTCATTTTTCCCAATTTCAATTTGTCTGAGCATTGCTCCGAGTCCGCATGAATACGTTGGCCGGTCGTTTTCGCGAAGTGAACTCGTCGTCAACAAGATATTCCATGTCCACCCCTTCAGGCCTGAAACCCATCTTCTCATATACATGACGTCCCATGCTAGAGGCCTCAGTGACAGACTCCAGATTCCCACGTCGTGAAGCTTCCGCAAGACCCCACTGCACTAGCTGTCTGGCGATCCCCTTTCCCTGGTGCGTGGGATCCACGGCGCAAAGATCCAGAGCGAACAGTGATGGTGGAAACGATGCTTGTAATTCGGCAACCACTTCTCTGCGACGACTGTGCAGTGCCGACATGACCTGCGAGAGATAACGGCGTTCTGATCGATTCCCAGGGTATATGCTTTTGAGGTCTGACGAATTTTCCAGGAGCTCAATTTGCGGATCCCCATGTCCTTCAAGATTAGAGGCCTGAATCCAAATTGCAAAGCCAACAATATTTCGCCTGCCTGCCTCCTGTGGCTCCGGCAGTGTGGCTTTCAGAAACATCGTGTTGGGGTTGCCGTTGCTGTCTATTGTCGTACGGCGCCAACGATCCACCATGCGCGCCGCTCCACGACTCTTCCCCTCCTGTGTATCCCATCCTGGATTCATGGCAATCCAAATCCCGTCCTCCACCTGGCGACCAAATGCCTCGCACACACAATTGAACGCTTGGATGATATCATCAGCTTGCTCAATCAGCTCAATCCGTAATCCCATATCACCGTCGTTGTTATTCATAGACGCCATTGAGAAGTTGGCTGCGCAGATAAAGGTGTGGTTGTAATTCCACGGATTGGATGTCGCCTTGAGATCGAAAGGTGTTCATCCGAACACTTGTCTTCTGCGTATGCCAAGGCGCTAAAAGTGTCACTTGGGATTGGCGTAATTACATCAACGTACGGCCCCGGGGAGGAACTGAAGTGACTACGCTTCCATTCCGCTAGCTCTCTTTCTCTCTCTCTTTCTCGCCCACCCTCCCTTTCCTTTTCTCTCTATACTTTCGCTAGGCTGTTTACACGCTTTCGGACGAGCACGACTACAGCCCTTTACATCACAAGTTCAGTCTACTCTTCATCTTTGTTCTTCCCTCCTTTCTCTTTCGAACCTAACAATGTTCTGATCTATTGAGTCGCTTACTACCAGCTCAATTTGAGGATTTAAGCCGGACGCGCGACCGAGACTTCTACGAGTCAAGCTTTTCTTTGAACTACATATGAAATCCAATCGATGGCACTTCATACCCAGGCTTATTATATAGGCTCTCCCTCTCACCCTCTCACCGACTGCGCTGGGTGTGGGGCTTTTGGCAAAGCTTCGATGACTCAAATCCTGATCCAAGCTCACGCATCATTGACAATACGACTGAACTACGTAAGTGGAGCATAAATCGCTGCAAATCAGTAGATTCAGAACTTTCGGGACTAAACGGATGGGGGAAAGAAAAGAAGAGCGAAAGGGTGAAAGAGCGATAGACCGATAGAGCAGGCCTGTCATCTACTTTCCCTGAACCTCCACCATCTTAACAATTATGAATGATTTTGATCATTGCTTTCATACGCAGTATATGTCACCCATAGTATATGCTCTCCAAACGTGACACTCGAGTGCTAGTTGCCTTCTGCTCCCTGGGCATGACACATCTTCTCACAGTAGTATGTCATCTGCACAGCAAATTAGCTACATATGTATCTCAACGACACAGATGCAAACCCACCTCGTCACCGCCGATATGCCATCCCGCAGAATTGCAGTAATTCCCGTCCTGGACCAATCAAGATATGTTAGGCACTTGGCATTCGCTCACGATAATCTTGGAGTGTAACTCACAAAGGTACAATCCGGACATTTGTCCCATTGCTTGTCTCCCGTATTGCGCTGTCTATAAAGATCACACGCACACTTGGTCTCACTTGGCAGAATCTCATAATCTTTGGACCATGTGTAGCTGGGGCTAAACGGTGTGCCACCTATCTCCGAGTACTTTCTACCCGTGACACAGACCGCGACGTTATGCAAATCAGCTAGACAACTGTTTGTACAAGAATATGTTAACTGTGCTAAAAGCCTACCTAGGAAGTACACTTCAGGGGAAGGTAAAATCATACATACCCTCTGGCAAGAAAAGTCAACAAAGAAACCTTGGAGATTCGCATGGTTGAATTTGCTCTGATGTGGCTGTTTGTGTTATGATAGGGGGAAAAGGATTCCAAGAATAACTGAATCAACGTTGGTATTGAAGTGGCCACCAACCACCGGTGCCTGAGTACTTAAGTAGCATCATGTCACTCAATTTATATAATGTGATATCAGATCTACAGCGCCTGATCCTAAAAGTTTATTCAGCTTCGCAAATGGGATCTTATCCATTGGCTTTGTAGACAATACTCTATGTTAAATCCGCTCAGATGGGGTCTGCGCAATCCTGACTGTCTCAGACTTTAACCTTGTTGCCAACGGTTGCCGCATGAGGAGTAGCAGACGGCTATCAGGGGAAACCTCGGAGAATCTTGGTGCTGGAACAATGCCAAAAGGCAAACATATGTCCAACAACGGAAGTGATAATCAGTTGCACAATTCATCTGTATTAGAAAATGTTGAGGTTGAGGGGCCAAATTTGAGACATCGTGTTCACCTCAATCCCACAAGATGTTTCACTATCTATGGGGCATGCAAGCTACGGCCATACATATCTACTGCCACAACCCCGGAAACATCCATAGATGTCTATATAAATAAGTTTGGCAAGATGAGGATCGACAGAACTCATAGTTCAATATGGTCAAATGCAACGCAATTAGAGAAACCCACGCCGTGCAAATCAAATTAAACAGCATAACGCAGGGGGTTCCGGTGTCGATCATTGCATCGGTCTATCGTCGGCTGCTTACTTTGGCTCTCTATGCGTCACCTGAGGCATTTCTTCATCTCTAATCGCACGTGGGGACAGCGAGTTTGTAACAAATTACTTCCTGAAGGATCAAACAGTAGCCATTGACTATCCACGGTTCTAGTGAAGGATTTTGGGTGGAATAAGGGAGTACGCGTCGGGTACAAAATGTTGAGGCACGGCAAAATTTTGTATATTTAGATGTAGCATGCTCCCGTGGCTTTGTGTGTCTTCTGCAAGGCTCTCCTCTAACAGCTTTTCAATCAAAATCTTATTTCTCAAACATGCTTCTCGTCAGCATCCTGTGTGCTTTGCTAGGCATATCTGTGGCTGCTAAGCCTGTGGTTCAACGACACTTCAATAGCACCGCATGGACTTCAGACTATGTTCTTCAACCCGAGGAGGTCATTCTGTTTGGAGAAGGCCGTAGTAAGTGAGATTGCGCTCGATTGACTTGCTAGCCAACCATCTCCTGACCGCCGTCGTCTAGTGGAGGTCGTCCATGAAAGTGTCTATCGCCAAATTCTCATCTCGCAGGGGCTTTCTCATTCTGTGCTCGAGATCAATGACGTGTCTCTTGAAAGCCAGGCCGTTCGCCAAGATACATCCAAAATTGAGCACCGCGACTCATGTGACCTCACTACTGCGGTCATCACTGATACCACACAGAGTTTTGTCGATTGGGATGTTCAAATGTCTCCTGTTGTGATTGGCACTGGAAATGGGATTGATGTATCTGTCAGCTCCGGTTACAGTGTCAGCAATGGGATTAGCGTTAGCGCTGGCCTCGATTTGTCTCTGGTGAAGGACAAGTTAGGAAGCTCAGTCGGCGTTGACTACACTCGCACTTGGACTACGCAGACCGTTGTGACTGTAAAGGCAACAGTCCCAGACGGTTACTCCGGTGCGATGATTACAAAGCCCATCAAAACACGAAAAAATGGTAGGGTCTTAAGGGGCTGTCTGGGGTCACAAACTCAAGATGGTACGTTTTCCGCTGATTCATTCCAAGATGGATCCTACGCAGGGGTAAAGTGGGTATCTGGGGCAATTACAATGTGTGCCAAGAAGGAGTTCCCTCTTTCCCGATGCTCGGGCAATGGGAACTTCATTTGAAGTTCAATATCATCAGGCACAAGAAAACGAAAGAGATACTTGGGCGCGAAACTTTATTTTCGTTGGTGGATATTTGAGTGGTTTTGTCCCTATCTCACCCTTCTCTGTCCAAGTTCTTCTGTGAATCGTGAACCCCTAGTACCTTCTACTCTATGTTCGAGCTTCGAGGTCATCTAAGATTTAGCTTTCAAGTCAAGTGCTTTGCGTGCATCCATAATTATCTCGGGTCAGATAAAATATAATGATGATCCAAGAATAAAGATTTTTCGGACCGGTAGTAATCATTTTGATTATTGATGGAAGCATGGTGGGCGGCTGGCGAAATACCAGAGTTACCTAGCTGGAGTGAAATTTGTCGACCGAATTCAAAAAAATGGTTGGATCGACGGGAGTAACGCAAACAGACATGTGCGATATTGTAGAATTGTGAGAGACGAGAAGGAAGAAGAGGGAGGGAAAGAACCTCTCACCATTCACCATTTGCGCTATCTAGGCCTGGAAGGAGCATAACAAACAGGACATACACCGCCAAACAGGTTGTATCAACGAAGAAAAAAAGGCAGACATGTATAGACCTGGCTAGGACCCGCGGGTACCCTCCATGACCCTGACCCTCACCTCACCATACGGAGGTCAGGGTCCGAGACCTGGACCCGCGAGGAGGGTCGTACCAAGGCCAACCCTTATGAGGGTTACCTGCAGGGACCCTGAGGGTCGTCAAACATAACAAACAGGTAAAAAACATGACTGGACGTCAATTACATAAATTATGTAGAAATAGACTGTATTCTATTGTAATTGTAAACTAAAACTTCATTACTATATAATCTTACAGAAGGAAACTATATATCTACTTCTTAGTGTATACTATAGATTCATTCTCGAATAGAGGTTTTAATTATGAATAGTTTATATTGTACCTATAGCATAGTGTTTAGTCATGGTTCTAATAAGCTTAGAGTCAAACTATATATCTATCTAGTAACCTCGACTTCTTTCGTATCCTACCTAATACACGATACTATATATTAGAAAAAGATAATAATAGGTTCTCTTCTAGATCTATAAACCTATTAATATTAGCATCTTCTTTATTGCTAGAATTAACTATAGGCCGTTTTCTAATAGCAATTATTAAGAGTAATAATATATCTAGGGTTACTTACGTAATTAATATAATAGTCGATATATTAAGATAGATCTTGATATCCTTTTTCTTATTATCACTAATAGTCTTAAAGATATATATCTAGATATTAAGTACTTCTATTGAAGCTGTTATCTTATAATCTAAAAGATATTTTTAGAGAATTAGCTATTGCTCCTCCTTGATATTAAATCTTATTATATATATATACAACATGATATTACAAATAGTCTCTAGATTTAATAACCTCTAGTAATAGTAATATATATCCTAAATAGAATTAAATAGATATTTAACTTTAATACTAGTTGCTAGAATTAATATAATATCATAGACAACACTTATAAGAATAGTGAATTTTCTTTAATAATCTTTTTAGAAGATCTAGATAGATTTTTTAATAATATCTAATTAGATAAAGAGATTAGTTATATAATTTATAGAATAATCTTATTTATTTACTACTCTAGAGATATTTAATAAGCTTATTATATTACGAAGTAATTAATTATAATAAAGAATCACTGTCAAAGGTTTTCTTAAGCTTTGATTTAGTTATTGATAACTGGCTATTAAACTATATTATATCTAGTGATATATATTAGCTATATCTCTTAAAAAAAGACTAAAAACTCTTGCAATATTTCTTTTTATAGTCTCTTCTTATCTCAGGATCTAGGTTCTAATCATTTGTTGAAAAGAACTCTATCTTATTCAACGGTATCAGGATTATTTTAATTATATAGAGATTACCTTCAATATCATTCATATCACTATAATATTTTTTCAATTTCTCCTTTACAACTTCAAAAAAGGAAAGTATTAGCTATTTCTAAGAAACTTTCTTTCAACAAAGTTATCATATCGATCTTTTAAAATAATCAAAGAGCTTATTATAAATCCTAAAGATAAAATAAATACTCGAGTCTTTAATACGATAAACTAATATAATAAACGTAAAAAAAGGCTAGAGAATATAAAGTAAATAGTCAATCTATCGCCATCCCTCTATACTCAATATAAAATAGGATTAGATATAGTCTTCATAGTACTTATTGAATATATTATAAAGTCTTTTCACCCGCTAGAACATCAAGAATATCAAATTCCATCGTATACAAACATCCTAGATTAGAAGAAGCCTTATCCCAGTGTTATTAGATTAAAGATTCAGAAAGACTTCTTTACATTTAGACCTCATCTTGGAAGGTCTACTAGAATGTAGGCAGGAAGAAAAGAAGGCTATTCGAAGAATAGTATTGTGCGTCTGAAGAGAAAAGAAAAAAGAAGAGAGAAGCTATGGAGGAGCAAGAACTAATAGACAGGAGGGTCACAATCACGTAATCCACCAACAACAAGAACTCCCTTCCAACATCCCCCACGAGATCATCTATCCATCTCTTCGAAAAAGAGCTAGCAATAATGTAAGAAAACGTAGCACAACATCACCAAGTTCATAGATAAGAAAGGGTAAAGGGGTAAAACAAAAGATGCATCTAGGGTCTAAAGAATAAGTAAAGAGTAGTCTAGTAAACAAGGTAAAGTAGACTATATAGGTAGAGCGTATAATATCAAATAATATCTCGATTAGGAAATAGAGATAGTTTCGTAAAGAGATGCTTAATTATTAAAAAATCCTTTCTAGAGAGAGGGGGAAAAAGCGATTTCTTTTTATACGAGTAAGAAATTAGGCGAAAGGGTGTTAGTGATAGTGTTTTTTACTAATAAAGTACTAGTATATAGTTATGTCAACGAGCTACTAGTATAAAAATCTATAGTATAGAGAGCTATAAAGATTATATCTATACGAAGTATACTGTCAGAAAGCTTTCTTAAATTAAATATAGTTATTTAACGTTAAAATAGAATATAGATAAGAGATTTAGTAAAGCTATTTGCTGCTATTTCTACTATAGAGATCTTTATAAAGATGACGTTACTAGTTTTAACTTCTTCCTAAATCTTATAAAATCATATAAAGATATATTTTGTATTTATATAAAAAACAGGGTTTTCAATAAATACAATAGCTCTATTATTATCTATTATGATTTTAATAGATTTAAAGACCTAGATATAAAACTTAATAAGTAGATAAATAAGCTAGATAGCTTCCTAGATTATAAAGGTTTACACAATATACTTAGATTTAGTGATCAAAATTATAATATAAAGCTATTTCTTAAAAATCTAGAAAATAGGTCCTTCATTAAATATAAAGACAAAACTAGATATAGAAAGAATACTTTTAAAATAAAGGCTAGACTAATTAGCATTAAAGTATCTAATAAGCTTTAAATCTTGATATTTAGAGATAGGATTAGGGTCTATTAATTTAGGATTAAGTATATCACACATTTGATTCTTAGCATTGTAAACAGTAGTGGAGCCTTTAGCTAGATAGTGCTACTTGTCTATAAAGAAAATATATAAGTCCTTTAAGCCTTATAGATAACAGAAGACCTATTTAAGGGTAGCCTAATACTATTTGTCTAGATTGGTTATAAAACGAGTTAATTTGATGATAGGAAATAAGATGTTAGGACAGGTAGATACTATTAGCCAAATAAGAAAGCTAATCTACTCCTAGAATTAGACCTCAACAAAACCCAACTTGGGTCCAACTTTCAGAACCTAACCCAACCCGCAAGTCCAAAAATTAAACCCGTACCCAACCCACGGGTTACCCGCAGGTTAGGTTTTAGGTTCTTAACAAACCCGTGCTAGCCCAGAGCTAGCATAAATCGCCTAGAAAGAAAGATCTTAACGTACACAACTTGATAACTACTTACAATTAATTACCATTCTTTATATATATTCAGTTATAACTAAATAATTCTTTCTTTTAGAGTAGTTAATTATTTGAAATATTATAAAATGATTATATTTATAAGATCTATATAAAAAGTTACTATTATTTTACTAATTGAATTTACAAAATTAGATAATAATAATATAGAAATCCTATATTTATATATTTCAGCTATATCTATAATAGAAATATATATCTGAATATTATAATCTCCTTTTATATATTATAAATTATGGTTTCTCTTAAACTTTTAATCTAATTCTTTAAATTTAGATATTTTTATTATTTTAATAAAATAAATAATATTTAGATTTATCAAAAATCATTATAGATAATAAGATTTCTACAATCTTTATATCTAAATTAATATTTAAAGACTTAGATTAAAGAACTTAAAAGAATTAAGATTTAAAGATAGTAACATTTGACACGGTGAGCGGGGGGCCGAAAACGGCTCTCATTGCACGGTCGTCCTGCCGCCCTTGACCGCCTGCCCGTCTCCGCCATCCCATTACCACTTTGGGTTTGGCGCCCTCACCCGCACTCCCGTTCGGGCTTAGTGCCGCCGCTGGCCGCTTTTACCGCCCCCAACCAGTCTTCCATCTATAAAACACCGCTCGTCCTCTCCGCAGCTTTGTCGACGCACTTTCTCTTCTTTTTCCTTTCTGACCCCCTTTCTCTGGTCTCCACCAACTTCTGCGCACTGGCTCGCCACCTGATGCATCGCCCCTTTCATTTCACCGGAGATGTCGCTCGATCCACCGCTCAGCCGGCTCTAGCCAGCGTTGTCTGCACCGCGGACCGGTCCCTTGGAGATTGATGCTTCGAGATCACGAAGCCCTCATCATCTTGTGTGCTACGATACCAGTGCTTCTGCTTAATTGGATTGTACCACAATAATACTAGCTCTCGAGAACACATGTTGTTTGCGAGCCTTTCTCGCTGAGCGCCTCGCTTACTCTGCTGGCTTTTGGCTCGGCCGGAGGACAGTGTCTTGGAAATCCGCGACACGCATGTCCTGATTTGCCACATTCCATGCGA